TCAGCTGTCTCTGTAGATTTCTCCATCATGATCTTGACCTCCCTTGCTCATATGTTCCCTCTTCCCTCTCTTTGACTGGATTCCCAGAGCTTGGCCTGGTTCTTGGTTGTGTTGTGCATCTCTGCATCTGGTTCCATCAATTACTGGATAAGGGCTCTATGATGATATTTGGGGTATTCATCAATATGATTACAGGGGTAGGCCTGTTTAGGCATCCTCTCTACAATTGCTAGAAATCTTATCTGGGGTCTTACTCGTGGGTTCTTGGGAGTTACTCTAGCACCAGGTTTCTCCCTAAGCCCATATCTTTATTGTTCCCCCCACCTTTTTCTCTCCCTCATTCTTTGTAAATTATAGATGTAAATCCTCTGTCAGATATATAGGTGCAAAAAACTGTCTGTAAAGAGGACGTGTTAGAGAGAGGTTCGGTGTCCAGGAAAAGTAATTTGAAAGCTTAACCCTGCCCCCACCATGCCTGAGAACATAACTGCCTTTGGAGACAGTCTTCCCAGAAGTTATTAGTGTGGGTCCTCATTCAACACAGCAAGTGGCCTTGTAAGAACAGAGATTTAGGCCAAGTGTGGTGGCACGCCCTTTCATCTTGGCACTTGGAAGGCAGAGGCAGCTGGATCTCTGTGAGTTTGAGGCCAGCCTAGTCTACAGATCAATTCCAGGACAACCAAGTCTACATGGAAAAACCCAGTCTTGAAACTCCTACAAAAAAAAAAAAAAAAAAAAACCAGCAGTTAGGACTCAGATAATAGATACGCAGCAGGTAGACAATGTAAAACCACGGAGAGAAGATGGTGGTCAGCTAAAGCCTGAGTGCGGAATCCTCAGGGAAACCAGACCTTCCAGTACCAAAGCTCGTCCTTCCAGCATTCAGTGTTAGGAGAACATGAGGTCTTGTTTCTGACATCCATCTGTGGTACACTGTGGTGACTGTGGTGACAGTCCTTGCACAACTAGTACTTGAGCAGTTCCGAAAACTAGCATAGAATACTTTAAATAGAATCCCCAGATAGACACAAGGTTTTAGTCAGGGATACTATGACAAGTGGCCATGTGAGCTCCAGGCCAGCCTGGTTTACAGCTAGTTCTAGGACAGCCAGGGCTACACAGACCCCATCTCAAAAGAAAAAAGAGCAGTGTTGTATAATGGTATAGCATATGGTGACAAAAGGCTGTGGCATTGACAGCTGTGGAGATAGCAAACACTGGGAAGTACCCACTGCTACCCCTACACATAACAATGATTACCATGGTCTGGGCAGCAGTAAGTGTTTGCTTGCTGGAAATGGAGAAGGGAAGAGTCAGTGTGCACACAGAACAATTAGAAGATGAGAAAGGCCAGAAACCTGAGCCTGCATACAGCAAAAACCGGCCGTGGAAGCAGAGTGGCTCAGCTCCAGTGTTTTACAGAGCTGATATTTTATTTTTATGGTCAAAGATAAAAATGTGTTTAGGGACACTTCAGAAGTTATCACAAATTCTGTGCTAATCCCAAGTCAAAGGATTCTAATGCTCCTTTAAAGAGTGTGTGTGTGTTTGTGTTTGTGTGTGTGTGTGTGTGTGTGTGTGTGTGTGTGTGTGTGTGTGTGTGTACCTCCTGAGTCAGCAACTCTAAACAGCAATTTCTTTTTTTTTTCTAGTAGGTCTGCCTTTGTGTGTTTTTTTCCATTTCTATTTGAATTAGAAACAAGATTGTTTTACATGTCAATCCCAGTTCCCTCTCCCTCCCCTCCTCCCCTTCCACCCTCCCCCAACTAAACCCTACCTATCACATATTCTTTCTGCTCCCCACGGAGGGTGAGGCCTTCCAAAGGGGGTCTTCAGAGTCTGCCATATCCTTGGGATAGGGCCTAGGCCCACCCCCGTGTGTCTTGACTAAGGAAGTATCCCTCTATGTGGAATGGGCTCCCAAAGTCCACACCTATGCTAGGAATAAGTACTGATCTACTGCAGGAGGCCCCATAGATTTCCGACGTCTCACTAACACCCACGTTCCTGGGGTCTGGATCAGTCCCGTGCTGTTTTCCCAGCTATCAGTCTGGGGACCAAGAGCTCCCGGTTGCTAAACAGCAATTTCTAAAATCAAGATTCTAGCACTGTGTACTAACTAGATTCATCTGTGCCATCTAGTGGAAGTCTTTATGTCTTACGGGAACAATCTGGTTACCATGAAATGACTGTTCTACTTGACAGGCCAACTTGCTTCTTTTGTGGGGCAACTGCTCCCATTTATGTCCTGATCTCACTATGGGATGGTCTGCAAGGCTCCACTGTTACTTACCCAAAGTGATTACAGGCTCTGGACAAGGATGGAGAAGTGCCTTTTGGGAGAACTGAATAAGATGAAAAGCTGACCAACAGAAGCCTCAGTTATTCTTTGTGTCTCATTTCAATATGACCAGCAGAGTTGATATCAGGGACACAGATGCCACCAGAAGGCCGAAAGGCCCAGTTTTATCCTGTTCTTACCTGTGAACTGGGTGTCTGCAAGCTCTGTAAGGCAGCTTTACAGAGCATTGGGCCCCAGTGTGATACAAAGGAGAGATTGCTTTGCAGCTTCCGGGCAGACGATGTGAATGCAGAGACAGACAGATCTGAGGAGTGGTGGGATCAGAAGAGGAGAGGAAGACTTATTAGCTGAAGCATCACAAAAGGGGCTACAGTGACACATGGGAGCATGTGGGCAGGAGAAAGAGGGGAGAAGCCAGGACAGGTGAGGTATTGTCTCCCAAAGGACAGAGGTCGTTCCACATCTTCACAGACCCAACATCTGGTGGGCAGGGGCTACTCAGAGAAGGGCATGGTAGCCACAGAGAATGGTCAGGGGCTTCTGGTGTGTCTTAATTAGAGTTTCTATTGCTCTGAAGAGACACCATGACCAGGGCAACTCTTATAAAGGAAAACATTTCACTGGGGAGGGCTCACAGTTTCAGAGGTTTAGTCTATTATTGTCATGGTGGGAAACATAGTGGCATGCAGGCAGACATGGTGCTGGAGAGGGGCTGAGGGTTCTACATCCAGATCGGCAGACAGCAGGAAGAGGATGCCACATTGGGCACTGTTTGAGCATCTGAAGCCTCAGAGACCACCCCCAGTGACACGCTTCCTCAGACAATCCCTACTCCAACAAGGCCACACCTCCTAATAGTGCTACTCCCTCTGAGCCTATGGGGGCCATGTTCCTGCAAACCACCACATGGTGTCAGGCGTGGCTTTGTTAGAATGGGCAATAGTTACAGGCACAAAGAGAGCTTCACGACTGCATGCTTCATTGGACAGATTAGAAGGGTGGGTCCGGAGCTGGGAGAACACTAAGCCTTTATTGTAGGAACACACCCAAAAAGGAGCCAGGGGTGGTGACAGAGTCCGCTGATTGCCACCACCATGTCCCTCTGTGTGCAGAGAGGAAGGAGTGGCAACTACCAGAGACAACTGCAGACAGAGAAACTACTTCCCTGGTCCTCAGGCCACCAAAACAAACTGTGTCTCACGAGCTTCTTGGCATGATGGTCTATGATGTGTCACAGGACATTTCGCTGTTTCATCAGGAGACACTGGAAAAGGGCTCCTTGTTTTTGCAACACCATGTGTCACGTCCAGAGCTCCTTGAAGAAAATCTCTGGCAATAACACTCTCAAAGGACTGCTCGCCCGATAACCTAACCTGCTTTGTGTCAGCTGAATTTGCTCTCAAAGATGGCCACAGCCCCCAACACAGGACCATCTCCAGAACTGCATCTGGTTCCAACAAGTCTCACTTATGAATACCCTACAGAATGTTGAGACATTTTTTAATTGGCGGGTTGTATGATCAGCTGAATACTATCCGATAAATAAGCACCTGCCCTAATCCCCAGACACCATTTATGTTATTCTTACACGGGGAAAGAGACTGCAGGTGTAGGTAAGGATCCCGAGATGGGAACATCCTGTATTACAAGGGTGAGCTACAAGGATATCCAGGGGAAAGAAGGAGAGGGCACCAGAGGAAGAGGCTGTGAGCCAGACTCGGAGTGCAGGGATGTGTGTAGAAGATGCAGGAAGAAACAAAGAGCAAAAGAATGCAGGTGATCCCTGGCCACGGTACAGACAGGGAAGTGGGTCTCCCTGTAGTCAACCACAGAGAAACCAGCTCTGTGGACACCCGAACTGTACTCAGGAAAACTCGGTTCAGACTCTCCTCCAGAACTGTGACTTTGTGCTGTTTCAAGCCACCAGATTTACTGTCATTTGTTACAGCCACAACAGAAATCTAATACAGTGAACAAAAAAATTGCTGTTCTGAGATTTTACATTTCTATGACTACTAGAGCAGGCATCTTGATTCTTTTCCCTATTGGGTTGCACTCTCGTTTCCATTGTCTACTAGCAAAACAACTCCACTCACCTCTTTGGACTGTTCCCTTGCTGTCATCTGGAGATGAGGACAGTACCATGAATAGCTGAGTTCATGTCTGGAAACTGCTGAGAATGGTGGCCAGCTCATCAAATGCCCCAGAATACATCCATAACTTTTACCACCAATAACAAAATTCAGCTCTCTGGTCATGAGACAGAGGGGCCACCGATGCTCGGCAAACAGTGAGTAGGATCTTGGGAAGACCCACGAACCACTTCTACTTCCTCAACCTTGATCGTGAAAACAATATGCAAACTATGTTTGTTTGTTTGTTTGTTTTGTTTTGTTTTCCAAGACAGAGTTTCTAGTTTCTCTGTGTATCCTTGGCTGTCCTGGGACTCCCTCTGTAGACCAGACTGGCCTTGAACTCAGAGATCCACCTGCCTCTGCCTCTGCCTCCCGAGTACTGGGATTAAAGGCATGAGCCACCACTGCCTGGCCAATATGCAAAGTCTTAAAAGTTCTGCGTCTTTAAATTTTTTTATGTATTTCACATGTATGAGTGTTTTTGCTTGCATGAATGTATGTGGACCACATGCATCCCTGATGCCCAGGAAGTCAGAAGGGAATATGATCCTTTGGAACTGGAGTTTCAGTAAGTTGTGAACCACTGTATGGGAGCCTGGATCCTCTGTAAGAGCAGCAAGTGCTCTTAACCCTGAATCATCCCTCAAGCCTCCCTGTGTCTTTTTATGTGTATGTGTTGCTTTCTATTTCCACTAAATAATGAGTGCAGTTGCCCTTCCCTGCTCCAAGCAAGATAAGAAAGGTGGGTTTTATGGCTCCATGGACATGA